GTGACACGCGAATTATGATTTGAGTGTTTACTATATAACCATGTATTTATTATATTGGTTCTTAATATTAGCAAAAAGGGAAGTATTTTTACATCAGATACCAAATACTTTCTAATAACACACTGATAATTCATGATTCGAAATTTTGGCGATCCTTGTTCAGATATTACTTAAACATGAACCGAAAAAAATTTGACTATACATATTTCAGGGATAAAGAAATGATATTATAGTAATGGAGAAAATGAATGCAAATTGTTTGTATAGATAATTTAAAACTGAATTTTAATTAAAGTATTATATTTTTGATTAGCCTGCCATAGGTTTCAATCCACAGCTTGTTTACATGCGACATTTTGAAAGAAAAGTAAATTTAAGACATTTTGAAAGAAAAATAAATTTAAGGCATTTTGAAAGAAAAATAAATTGAAAAGTAGCAGGCGATTTTCTCATTTCAAACAGTAAGATCTTGTCAGAAGTTTTTATTCGTAAACGTTTGCTTTTTAAAATTCTTTATCGAAGTTGTTCTAAAAATGTGTAAACACCCTCTGTAAACACAATGGTGTTGTGCACTCAGGCAAGCGATCATCTCCAATTCTGACATATTTCCTTCTATCGCCGTCAAATATGGCTATTTTGGCTTCGTCACTTTTAGTGAGACTATTTTGAGTTGTTTTTGAGACCTTTTTAATGTATGTAATCTATTCTAATCTTTTTCTTTGCTCAGAGATTTATAAATAACATTAATAATAAAAGAAAGCTCTTTCTGTAATAGTTCTAGTGTTTACCGAAATTTTTCAATTCTACATCGAACAGTCTGGGCATTGTGTTCATGTAAATCATTTTTGTTGCTACAGCTGATTTCCATCCATCACTCTTTATTATTATTATTTCAACATGCTGTTGTGATTCTTTTCTTACCTTTAGCAGTTTGATTTCCAAACAACTTGAATTTGTTTATACTTGTTCCATGGGCTGAAAATTCCTTCTTTGTGTTACCTTTCCACCTACTTTCTTATAATTCCGTCTTAAATGTTACCTTCTTCACGTAAAGATTGTTTTGTGCATGTTTCTAGGTGATCAATCAACTATTTTTTGTTTGATTGTCATCCTAAAAGCACGAAAAATAGGGACCAACTTATTGGTATTTAAACAAATAAGTAAGATGTTTTACAGTCAATCGTGGTACCAGAAGAAGACAGTTTATTCACGCTATCACCTTAATAGATTGATTTTGTGCTGGCATTTCAGTGCTCGATTCGCAGTGTCGAGTGTAGGAAGTCCCAATCAGGTAAGGCAGTTATATTTTCTTCCTGCCATTTTTTTAGCTGTAACAGTTAACATAATAAAAGTAGTTCACCCAGTGAAAGCTTCACTATATTTTGTATTAAATTGTCTTCTCGGTGACTCATAACTTCATAGGATATTTTTCTGTAGTATTTTAAAAGTATACGTGATGGAACTTATTCATTTTACAGGTATAGGTAGATGCTAGGCCAGCACCTCCGTAGTACCACAGGTAATTGAGGTATTGCTGAACCTAGCTAACTAATTTTGAGGGAGAACATCCCGGGGGGGATCCGATGTTCTCCCGTTCCTCTTTTTTTACCATCAACCATTTGAGGGGACTTTCTGAGATAATTGATTTTTGGTATTAATAGTGTACACAAATCATACTGAGAAAAGACTGTCCGTGAAAAGTTCAACAATTGATGCTTCCAAAAGTCTAAATGTATGTCTAAATGTATTCATTTTACAGAAGTTTTCCACAATTTTGATCAATCTGTGAATGCCTAATTTTGCATTTTCGAAGAACTTTAAATGTCAGCCATCTCCAAAATCTGCGTACTGTAATATAAATAAATTCTTTCTGTTTGTGGTGCTGCGAATTAATAGTCTTTTTTTCTGTTAGAGGCTTTAATTGTAGTGTGCAAAAAAAGTATCTTCGTAATACAGTTGTTAGTGAGAAAAAAGTATTTTAGTATTTTCACGAATAACTCACTTGGAAGAGGATGTTTTATTTCCTAGCGTCGCTTATTAATAATTTTGTACAGAAAGTGCTAGGATAGAAGAAAATAATAAAGACTCGATTTAACAGTAGGTAAAGTTGGCTAACTAAAAAAAAGACTTCAGTGAAATCACATTGTTAAGTTAACATTAATCAGTAATTATTAAGATTAAGTAAGTGGTATATCACAAATTTAATGAATTTGTGATACAGTCCCCTTGGCTAATTTTGTGTACCTGATGACGAGTAAATCGCATGCGTTTTCATCAAGTATAACATCATAAAAACACAAAAACGCATCATCATCAAGAAAGAGGATAAAATAATGAATTCTGTTGTTGCGTGCTGAGAAATATCTCCAGAAAAGGGTACATTTTTAAAGATATTTAGCTGCTTAAAAACTTCGAATTTTTTTTTAAAATATGATTTTCTAGTAGATCCCCGTTAGCACTAAAAAAAGTTTTATCCGCTCCTCTACCATCCGCGCTATAGGCTAGCGTTCTAATGTGTTCACGAATCGAATTAAAAATGGCATCATATTATTTAGGCTGTAATTTTGTGTGCATTTCATTCAAAATAGCACCATATTCAGAACTAGCAACGAGCAAAAATTTGGATTGCAGAGGTTACACTGATATTTCTTTTCAGCGATCTGAAATGAAGATTAAACTTATTTTGACGTCAATTTTATGAGGCGTTTTCGTCATTAGAGGTGGTATAAGCCAAACAAAAATTAAGCAAGGAACGAATTAACTAATCAGCAGATTCTAGAGACGTCACCCTTTCTCTTTTTTACTTTATTCCTCTTCTAGTAACTGAAAGTTTTTGAAATCGAGATAAATAACTTAACTCTTAAGTCGGATGGGGGAAAAATATATGCGTGTTGTCAGCATGCATCGAAGATATGAAAATAATATCAAGTTATCATTTTAAGTCTGTATTTACTATCAAAGTTAGAATCACATTCATGTATTAAAAAACTAAATATAGCCTTTGTTTTTAAACTGAATCTTTTATTCCTTCAAAATACATGTATTGCATTGGGGATAATTATTGAAGGATTGGTTTTGTTGATTATGGCAAAACACTTATGATGTATTTTCTCCCTCCTTTCTCCATGCCTTCGTGGTGTAACGGTAGCACACTCGGCGCGTATTCGATAGGACCAGGTTCGAGTCCCGACGAGGGCATTGCTCATTTTTCTCGTCTCCCTGCTTCATAATAATATAATGTCTGTACAGTGGTGCCCGAACTAAAGAGGTGGTGGATGAGGATTCTTCTTCACCACCAGGATTTGGCGACTGAGTCACCTAATCTCGAATGCCCTTTACTTCATCTTAATTTTATCGGCCAGTTTTCCACTGATATATGATACATTAAAGATCAGGACAACCTTGTTGCTGACACCTTGTACAGGGTAGAAATGATGCAGTTTCTGATAACCAGCGTACTGATTATAAAAAATTATCTGAAGCACAATTTCAAGACTTCGAAATTCAGAATTCTCTCGCTCAAGCTTGGCTAGTTTTTAAGCTATAAAAAATATTTTCATCTGGAAGATGTTACTCTTTACTGCAACATGGGCACAGGTGTGCTTCATCCATTCTGTTTCTAAAATTTTTCATCAGATTCACTGTCTTTCTTACGCTTGATTTTTATCTTGTGGACAATAATTATTGAAGATGTAGTTACATATTTAGTAAACTGTTGTCAGCTATATCAGATCATAAACCCCCATTATGATCCAGTATTATTTCTGTTATATTGTATTCATTTAGTTTTTGTTTAGGAATCTAATCACTTTATTAATGCATGTGATTGTGCTTTTCAATCATATCAAATGATAAGATAATCTTTAGCCAAATTCTCTGCCTTTTGAAAAGATGAATTAATCGAGAACCGTATCTACCGAACGCAGAAAAGTTAACTATATAATTTATTTCAATCATTCATCAGAAGCAGAGCACTGCTTTCAATGATTTTTAAAGCCACAGTTATTGAGACATATTTGCAAACGTATCATATCGACTTTCATATCGGAAAAAGAAATATCGTGCAGAGTACTGATTAAATAGATAAAATAAATAAAAAAGTTCTGTATTCAAGTTATTTAAAAACACTTAATATTGTGAAGAAGAGTCTTTAATTCCATTTATTTTAAAAATAGGAATGAACGGTTTCTCTTTTCAGGGAATTGGGGGGGGGGAAGTATTTTTACGTACCAATAACAATAAGTGCACATACAATTTCACATAATGAAACTGCAAGGTGCTTATGAAACAGTACATCTGAATCGGAATTTACTTTTTTTTTTAAAGTTAATCTGTTTTCGTTGCGTGTGTGCAGTGTTATTCTATGAAACTTCCTATTATTAAAGAATAGCTGTCTGAAATGCTTTAATAGATTATAGCCATTAAAACATTTATTTATTTATTTTTTTTACATGTATTCGAAGAGCTATTTTTATTAAACTGCTATTCACATTTTTGATTAGGATTAGGATAAAGCGCTATACATTTGCTTAACCTTTTGCTTCAGCAACGGCTTATATGCTGAACACATTCTTTTTAAGTACTGCGCGCAATCAATTAAATATTTAACATTTTAGTATTTTTTTATGGTGCCAAGATGTCTTTTTACATTGCTCTCCGAAACGGATTTTAATTATAAGCCACGAAAATGGTTGTTAAATAAAAGTGGTCTATAATTATTATGATGTTTCATTCCTTTTATAGGGTAGGTTTTAGGTGCATTCGCGAATGCTTCTGTGAAAATTTCTTTGAAAATTATGTACACTTATTGTTTAGAAATTTTAACTGTATTAATTAACTGTAATTAACTGTATTAATATTTGTCATAACAATGATTGCAGCTGAGTATTAGCTGTCTTTTTTTTGGGGGGGGGATTTTTTAATGCTTTTATTCCTCTTGTAGCATTTCATGAGCAATTTACTTTATATGTAGTATATTTTTGTTTTTTCTTATCTTTCAGTTCCTTCTGGCTTATCACATCCTACATGGCAGATCCAGCAGAATTGCTTCAGTTTGGACCACCAGATCGTTTGAGTGTGGCGTCATCTGCTCGCTCCTCCCTACCGTCAATCATAGGAGAAGGGGAAGAAGGAGGGGGAGAAGACACCTGGTCCCAGAGTATGATTGGTGATGCTGTCAATGACATGAAATCAGAGGAAATTAACTGGAAGGAACGTTACCTGGAACTCGAGATGACTCTAGACAAATTTCGGATTCAAGCTGCAAAAGTTCGCGACGTGCTGAAAAATAAGGTGAGATTTTTGTTTTGTTTTCTTTCAAAGAGTGGAACGAAGAACGAAAGACGGAAATCTTAACCCCGCATCTCAGAAAGAAATGCACATCTCATTTAAGATTGACAGCAACTAATTTGTATGGTTATTAAACGTAATTTTATTTAATGATGAATTAAACTTGAATATCTTTCCTCTCCCTCAAGTACTCTTTTCAGGAGAAGCACGGTAATGGCGTGATAAAAAAATCTTTTTTCGAAACGATTTTTTTTATGCATTTTATAACATTACAACAACATATCTTTGCTTTAAAACATTTTTGGTAACAATCAGTTATACATTTACGCATGCTTAAGGAAAAATTTATTATTTCTAATGTTCTTTTGCTTTGTATTTCCAATGAACTGTGGATTATTTTGAGGTAGCATGAGTAAGTTTTGTTAATTTCTAAAGACTTTACTGAAATGCCAATAAATTTTTTGGTCGATATGAGTTTTCCATTTTTTTTCCTCGATTTGGGCGGCTGTCTGTTCGTTTTCATGTATATTGGTTTTTAGTTAGTTTATTTATTAGACTTCTAAACTGTTACATACGGAATTACACAGTTTTTGTCTTGATTCCTGGAAACATGAGCTTGTCCACTTTAAGCCTCAGAAGTAGGTCTTTTTAGTATTACGAAAATTTTCTGCCCAAAAACGTTCTTAATTAAGTTAGGAGGAACAGGAAAGCAGTACTTTTAGGTTAGGTAGTAATTACCATCCAAATCTATGATTTTCTGCCAAAGTTTTGGTAGTTTTTCAAAGCCTCCGGCTCGGAAACTTGGTGGCCCTGAGTCTTAAAAAACAGATCAACCTCATTTCTGACGTCCTGTGCAGAATGGAAGCTAGCACCAGCAAGATGTAGCTGCAGGTGTGAAAAGTGGTAGTGTCGGGGCTATATGGTGGGTGTGGCAAAAGATCCCATTCGAATCCGTACAAAGTCCATCTGGGGAAAGCAGACAGATGTGGTCTTGCATTATCTTAATGAAAAATTACATTTTTGCTTCGGAACTAAGTTCGACGTTTTTCATTGATAGCAGCGTCAGCACGGACTAGCATTTCGCTGTACACCTTACTGTCGAGGGTTTTTAACTTTTCCCAGATATTCTTTGTGGATAATACCATGGCAATCACGCCAGATACAAACCATGATCTTTCTGCTAGTCAAATTTTGCTTTGCGATGCTGCCGACGGGCGCACCGGGTGTACACCAACCCCCTTTTCGTCCCGTGTTGTTGAAGTAAGTCCAGTTTTCATCATGAGTAACGATACGGTAAATAATTTTCTCCTTGTGTTGATATTCGAGCAGATTAGTGCAGGCTTGAACACCTGTGCCCTCATCTGCTTGAGTCAGCTCATGCGGCACCCAAAGATTGAACTTTGAACTCGTACGTCAAGTTTATACGATGCATAGCGCGACTAATGGACATGGATGAACGTCTTAAATGCCTTAGCAGACTGTCGAATGGTTGCATACTGATCTTCTTCCACAAATTCTCGCAGGCGGGGCTCATCCAACGACTTATCTCGTTGGGCTCATCAATATCAGCTCGGCCGGAGCTCTTTGCTTCTTGAATGTCATAGTCCTTGTTTTTGAACTTTCGGTACCAAAACTTCACAGTGGCATATGACATTAGTACCTAAATTTGTGCACATGATTTGGTGACATTCTGTAGCTGACTTTTTTGCAACTGAACTGGAAGTAAATGACGGTTCTAACCTGGTAGCTTGATAGTTCCATTTCAGACAACTTGTACTTAATGGTAACTATTATTTTTTTTACGGATTTTACCACGCAGTGTTCTAAAGCAAGTCTCTTTCTTTCAAATGCCAAAAATAATTTGGCAAAATATGATTAAACGCGAACTGTTTGCGCAGACGATATTTTCGGTGGCGGGAAACTTTTGTTAAAACCCTATATTTATTATTTTTTGAAAAATAAAATTCAAATTAGAAGTTATTAGGTATTTCTCCCGCCTTCCTAGCGTGCCTTCGTGGTGTAGTGGTTCTGAAAGCTGGATCAGTATTCCAGAGGTCCGTGGTTCGATTCCCGACGAAGGCGTTGCTACTTGGCGACTACTACTTCATATCTGTCTTTTAAAAATCCTAATGTCTGTACAGTGGCGCCCGAACTAAAAGGGTTGTGGATGATGACGCTCCACACCCAGGATTTGGCGATTGGGTGCCCTAAAAACCCCAGTCGCCCTTTAAAAGGGGGAGTATATAAGGTATTTCTCCTGTCTTCCTAGCGTGCTTTCGTGGTGTAGTGGTTCTGCACGCTGAACCGGTATTCCAGAGGTCCGTGGTTCGATTCCCGCCGATTTTCATCTTGCCTGCTTCCAAAAAATATCCTAATGTCTCTACAAAGTAACATAATATTTTTAATTCTTCATAATACAAATTACATATGTTTAGTCATAGAATATCATGTTTCCCTTATAAATAGTACTGAAATACATTATTCAGCAGGGAAACAGTAACACTACCATATTAAATTTGGTCAATGGAGCTCGTAGGAAAGTTAAAAACTTAGGAATAGCAGGATGGATATTTTTTATTAGAATTTGTTAATTACATTCACCAGATTGTAAGTAATACCTCTGTTTTTCGGAAAGTAAGTGTGCACATTTAAACTCTATTGGTAAGTAGGATGTTGGGAATGTTATTTGGGAAGAGGGAGCAGAAGGAACAGAAATGCAAAGGGATTTTTTATTCTGTGTATATACTGCTGGAATTCTGTAATATACTGCTGGAAAATTATCGTTAGTTTTATAATAATAAAACTGCCAATATAATACCGCAGCCCTTTTGAAACCTATATGTGATATACTGCTGGAAAATTATCGCTATAATTTATAATAATAATATATATAATTTAGAATAGTAACAATAACATTATTACTTATACCGCAGCCCTTTTGAAACCTAAAGCATTGGTGCACATTTTTTCACTAATCTGAAATTTTGTCGAATTGCATAATAGAAAATGAGATCTGTGTTTTTCATAATGGAAGATGTTAATGTTTAAAATTTTTTCTCTCGAACGGAAAAGTAATGTTGTTTATTACTCTTATATTATTTGCTTGCCGTGCATGGGAAGTAGGAGAAAAAATGAAATGTTAGTTAAGGTTTCGCTTCATTGAAAATCCATCGAGCCTTGCATGATTTCTCTCATTTATTGTATTCATTGATATATATATGTATATATATTTCCAATCAGTTTTTTTTTTTTTTTTCCTTAAACTGGGAGGGATAGTAAACCCTTCGGTTTTTTGAATTTGTGCCAAGATTTTCACTCTATTCCCAAACTTTATGTAATAATAATTAATAATAGTAATAATGGAAGTATTTTTAACCTCAAATTCTGTTCTCACTAATTTGATCTTCCTGAAAAATTCTGTTTATAAGAATGAAGGCAGAGGCAGCTTTCTGATCGGGAAACTAAATTCAGATTGAAATAATGATTGCTCAGTAGAAAATGGTAGCAAATTTTAAAAAGAGTACGGATTTATTCCCTGCCCCCCTCTAACTGTCTCACCATGTAACTGATGGGAGGGGGAGACGGAGGAAAAATCGAAATTCCGGGAGAGGGGTATTTAAATACATTTAAAGTATTTGGAATGCATAGGGATATAGTGTCATGAATTTTTAGTTGTGCGATTGATTCGTTATAATTCAAAATCATTATAGTTTGTTTGTTTATAGTTTCAAGGGCAAATTGTTTATTGAATAAGAATCAAGAATGCATATTTTTATCATTATATATATTGTATAAGATGAAAAGTGTTTTTTTTTTTTTTTTATAAATCTATGCAATTACCAACTAATGAGGAATTTGTCATTAAAAGTTGCTAAGCAGAGTTACATCTGGGAATATCTAAGATGAAATTTTAGCTCATGAAAAATTCAAAGAAGATTCTAAGATGAAAAAATTTTTTTTTTTTTTTTTTTTTTTAAATTGGAATTGTTCAGAAATTTATGAAAACATATAATATTCACTGTAAGTCGGTTGCCTCGATTTTAGTTGATATTTTAAGTATTTCCAAATTTTAGTTTTTTGATTAACTATTACTCAACCTGCTTATCGAATCTCGTATAAGCGTTGCTTTGGGGTAAATAATATTTGTGTATGTCATATTCAGAATATTTAATTTTTGATAATTTGTAACGTGAAAAATGTTAGTTTCACCTATTTTTCTTTATTTGCTGTTGAAGTTAAATATTCCTTTGATAGCTGAATAGACTACTTTTGATTTCACACAAATGAACAACATTCGAGTCGAAAGTTTTTGTTTTTTCAATATGCTTTAGTTTCAAAACTAAGCTTATAGTGAGTTACATTTTGAAACTTTCTACCTATATTAACGGGACACATATGCTTCTGCACAGCAGACAGTAAATAGTCGCGTGTTTTTAATTCTGCAGTAATTTTGGAGCACAAAGTGTAATTAGTAGTGAGTTTTCAGAGCCTTAACATTGGAAGTAGGATGTTAGCTGTGTACTACATTACTTACTGTCTATTTAATAACGTCGTGACCCAGCGTTTGGATCGCGTGACATTACATGTTAATAGGCTTCTGGACACTAAGCACTAGTTAAGAGAAGCCATTTAATTACATGGAGGTGGGAATAGTCATTTCCTTCGTGTTTGATTGATGAGTTTGTAAATATAATGTTATGAATATTTCATGTTTACTAGTACGTAAATGGGTGCATAGTTGAGCCCAAAATCCAGTTCCTAATGGAACCTGACGACATGACCACTCCATCCAACAATAGTATGCCTTACAACTTTGAAAACTTATCTCAGATGGAAAAAGATTTGTCCCAGAAACATATGGGAGGGAAGATAATTTCAAAATAGTCCGTGAATAGTAGTGTCTTTTCAATAGATTGAGCAGCAGTTTTTAATTTAAGTAAATAATTATAATTGTATACTCTGCTAATGGACTGAATTGAAATGTTTTTCATTATCAGGAAGTC